GACTGTACCATTTTGATTTTCACTAGCTATGGAGAGTTCTGGCTGGTCCTCATCTTTGACAGTATTTTGTGTGTTTACCTTTTTGCATTTTAGCCATTCCAATAGGTTTACAGTGATAGCTCATTGTTTTAATGTGCAATTCCCTAATGACCAATGATTTTGAGCATTTTGTATATGCTTATGCGCCATCTGCGTATTTTATTGGTGATGTGCTCAGGTCCTTCACCTATTGTTATTATTTTTTTGCCTTGCGTTGTTTAGTTCTCAGAATTCTTCATATATTTTGGACAGCAGTCTTTTATCAGATTATTTTGTAAATGTTTTTGCCAGTCTTTGGCTTGCCTTTTCCATTATCTTCACAGTGTCTTTCACAGAGCAGAAGTTTTTGATTTTCCCGAGACTCAACTTTATTTTTTTCATTCATGGATTGTGCTTTTGGATGTTGTATCTAAGAAGTCATCATTGAACCCAAGCTCCCGAGCTCTTCTCCTGTGTGATCTCCTGGGATTCTCATGGTTTTGCACCTTACATTTAGGTGTAAGATTCATTTTATAAAGGGCATAACATGCACACTTAGATTGGTTGGTTGATTGATTGATTGATTGATTTTGCATTTGGTTGTCTAGCTGTTCTAGCACCATTATTTGGAAAGGCTGTCCTTGCTGTTTTAAATTTTCTTTAAACCTTTATGAAAGATCAGTGGACTGTATGTAGGCCTGTTTCTGCGCTCTGTATTCTTTTCCATAGATCTTATTTGTGTGTTTTTCCTCATTTCACCAACTTCATGCTGTTTTGGTTTCTGTAGTTTTCTAGTAAGTCCTGAAGCTGGTGGTACGTTCAGGGTTTTTTTTTCTGAACTTCATCATGACAACCTGATTGAGATTGTTGTAGTCAAACTTGGAAATGTGTGAGATTCCCCCTTAGTTTGGTCTTCAAGGAGTTTTTAATGCTCAAGGCAGGCCACCCTCAGCTGCTAATAATGTGTGAATATCATTTAAGTGCTCCTCCCCGTGGCTGTCCCCAGTAGCTTCTCTTCCTGGTGAACTGCGACTCTGTGTGTTAGCCTGTCTCTCTCAGTTTTAGGATGGCAGTTTTCCCTGTGACCTCACTTCTCTGGTCCAGCCTAGAAGAGCTGACTTTCAGTTTGTTCTGCTTTTCTCTAGCTGTGAGGATAAGTGATGACTCCCTAGCTCTTTCCATGTTGGAGTGGAAACCCAAAAGTTCATTTTAGAGTTACTTGTAATAAAAGTCAACCATTGTCAGTGTACAGCTTAATCATTTTAGGTGGATTTATAGAATTGTGCTGCCATCAGCAGAGTTCTATTTCAGTACATTTTTGTCGCTTCCCCAAACTCCCTTTAGCCTCTTTGTGGTCATTTCCTAATCCCTAGTCCCCTATTCTATTCTATCTGAATAGAATAAATATTTGGATAATGGACTTCATTATATTTACATTTTCATGTGTTTGGGACTTTATATAGTGGACTCTTGTCTTCCTTTTCTGACAAATAGAGAAGAGATTGCATTCTAGGGATGTTTTTGGGGAAACATAACAGTAGTCCTGTTTATGTTTCTCCTTGAATTGGTTCATCTGTACTGGTAAGTGGTACTTGCTACAAAACCTTGTCTGGTGAGCACAAGGAAAGGAATCTTTAAAAATATGCCATTAAAACAGAGATGACACATTTTCACATAGTAATATGTGGTGTTAAATATTAAACCATCTTAATTCTTTTTTTTTCTTTTCACAGAGTTTTTGCTTCATGCCCAGGCTAGAGTGCAATGGCACGATCTCACCTCACTGCAACCTCCACCTCCTGGGTTCACGTGATTCTCCTGCCTCAGCCTCCTGAGTAGCTGGGATTACAGGTGCCCACCACCACACCCAGCTAATTTTTGTATTTTTAGTAGAGACAAGTTTTTACCGTATTGGCCAGGTTGGTCTCTAACTCTTGACCCCAGGTGATCCACCTGTCTTGGCCTCCTAAAGTGCTAGGATTACAGGCATGAGGCACCGCACCAGGCCTGAAGCGTCTCTTTATTCTTTCAGAAATATGGTTGATAACAGTAAAGCCACACGCCTCATGTGCCTGAAATGCCCCACATTGTCTTCTTCAGGTGGGAAGCGCTCTGGAACAGCCACATAAAGGTGAGGGCAAGATTTTATTGTAGTTCTTTGATTGATTGATTGATTTTTGCTCTTAGAGGGTTTAGCATCCGTGTATCTGTAATAGAATTCAAGAGTAGAGACAGGCACCTGTATTAGTTTTCTCCTGCTGCCTATTATCACGTTACCACAAACCAGTGATTTGAAGCCACAGAAGTCTGGAATGAAGTGGCTGGGTTTCTGATCAGGGTCATGTGAAGCCACAATCTGGGAATGGGCTGGCTATGGGTTTTCTCTAGAGCT